GCTGAACCAGATGAGCATTTAACTAGGACACAGCAAATGTCAGTGCAATTGTGGCTGCAGTCTAGATGCAGACAGAGCTGAAGGGCTGTCCCTGGAGAGAGAGCGTTTTGGGAATGCTTTCTGAGAGTAGTCAGCTAAATTTGGAGGGCTGTTGCTTTGTCAAGTGATGACGATTAACTTTGAGGCAGATACCCAGATGTGCCTGTCTAGAGAGACTGCTCCCTGGGGAGGGCAAGGTGTGTGTAGCAAGTGACATCAGTGCAGCATTTGACTTCAGAGTTCACGGCCTTAGTGTTATGGGGGAAATAATGCAGAGACAAGCATCAGAGCCACCCAATTCTTTTGTGTCTGTAACAGAAGCTTCTGCAGGGTCTGACTTGGCTTCAGAAAAATGCCTGGATTACTCACCAGTTGTTTAAATCCAGTTGAGGACTCTTACTATGATGGTCTTTGACAGCTGTGTATGTGCCTTGTGCAGGAAGCTGTTGTTCGGATGACCAAGTACCATATACCTCAAGGAGCAGGGGATATAGTCATGATTCAGTCGGATCACACAGGTGCTGTGGATATTCTTTCAGCTGAGCTGGAGACTGCAGATCTCCTGGGAGAGCAGAGGAAAGGTGAGGCCTGAAAGGGTAGATGACTCTGGGGCTGGTTTTGAAGTGTCAGCGCCTGCCCTAAGCGGAGAAGAGCAGCAGGCACTACTGACTCCTGCTGGAAGCGTGGGCTTATGGCTAGCAAGTGGGAAAACTTCCCATCCAGCGTTTCTGAGAGTAGGCTCCAAAATGCAAGAGCCTTATCAGGAACAGCTTCACTGTTTTCAGATAACAGTTTGCCAGTAGTGAAAAATAAGATAAGCTGATGGTCTTGTCCCTGCCCTCAGCTCAGCCTCCCCCTCTGGCTCCACCCACGACTTGGACCGCTGGGAAGATGAAGGAATTCAAAGCCAAGATGGGAAAGGAGAAGAACAGCCGGATGGTGGTGAAGCGAGGCGAGGTGATGACAGTCCGTGTGCCAACCCATCCTGATGGGAAACGTGTCTGCTGGGAGTTTGCTACAGATGACTATGACATTGGATTTGGAGTCTATTTTGACTGGACTACAGTTACTAGCACTGCCATTACTGTGCAGGTCAGCGAATCCAGTGATGAGGAGGATGAGGAGGAGGAGGAGGAAATTGAAGGTACTGATGCAGAGCTTATACGGGTTAACTTGTGGAGCTTGTTGCCTCGCTACTAAGAGCATCTGTCAGATGCTGTAATTTCAGTCTACTTTGTTTACTCAGCCCATTTGTTATCTCTGCAGCCTTTTGGGTTCTTGGTCACACTGTGATGAGAAAGCATTTAGCATTTCCTGCTTCAGCGTATGTCAAAGGCTGTCCTTCTCCAAGAGCATTCTTAAAATTGAATGAACGGGGAAAAATAAAGCAGATGTCATTTGTTCAGCTTCTAACTGAGAACATTAGAGTCAGATTTTTAACTCAAGTTTTTTTTTCTCAGCTTATCAGACTGAGAAGTTCTTTTTGGAGGGGGAGTGGGAGATGGAAAGGTTTTTTTTTTTTTTTTCCTGTGTCCATTCTCCCCACTCCCCAGTATGTCAGGAGCTCCTGCTGACTGCATTTGGGAGGGTTGCTCCTTGTGCCACTATACCTGGAAAACACTGAGCAGTATTCTGTCTTCTGTGGCTTCAGTGTATGTGCAACCGGAGCAGCTGGGGGTCTGATGACTGAAACAAATCTTACAGGGAACCTATTCTCTTTGAGGAATCCCCATGGAGAAGTAAATTGAGGACACACAGAAACAGTGAGGTTATTGCTAAGACCCTTCCCAGCTTTCTTTTGCCCCAAGTCAGGATCACTGGACGACTCTTGAGGAGAACTTGTTACGGTGTATGTAAAAGTAGTCAGGTGTCTAAAAGGTATCAGCAGGGAGAGGAGGCCAAGCAGGTGGGTGGTCACTGTCCCCCCACCCTGTTTGCGTATTCCCAAAAGAACTGGTTTTCAATGTGTTCTTTGTCACAGTAAGGAAAGCTGGACTTTGCGGGCAGAGGTCAGGGCAGGCGTTACATGTAATGCTATCGTAGTCAGCTTTTCTTATAGCTGCATGCCTGTGGTGTATTCTAGGCTTGATCATTTTCTGAACTGTCTGGTGGCTTAACTGGCTCTGGCCTGTTTGTTTGTCTCTTCTCTCCTATTCAGGACTTGCCCCTGTTGGTGATGTGGAAAGGGGCTCCAAAAGCTATCTGCGGAACCGCTATGGGGAGATCATGCCTGTGTATCGGAGAGACAGCCATCGGGAGGTGCAGGCAGGCAGCCACGACTACCCAGGCGAGGGTATCTACCTCCTCAAATTCGATAACTCCTACTCTCTCCTCCGCAATAAGACTCTGTTCTTTCACATCTATTACACTAGCTGAAGGAATGGAGCGGGCAGGGATGGCAGGCAGGTAGTGGTGAGCGTAGCACGCTGCCATCCAGCCCTGGTACTTCCTAACGGGCACTGCTGTGTTACAGAGTCAAGGCACAATTCTGCCAGCTCTTCTTCAGATACAGACTGGCTTTCCCCTCCCCCCCCACCCTACTTCCCAGCTGACCCAGTGAAGAAGATAGTTGTGACTGCCTGATTGTCCACTGGCAGCTGTTCTTTTGGTAAAACCTCAGGAGGCCTGGTCTGTGCAGGCGTCGGGCTCGGATGTTTTGTCACGTTCAGTAAATGTCTGGAGGCCAGGTTCAGGTGTTTGTAGCTTCTTTCCGTTGCACTGGTACGAAATGAAGTCAAAACACTTCTTGATTTGTTACTGTTTTGTAAATAACTTTTCAGATTCTTCTGCTGCATCTGTGTCGCTAGAGGGCGGCTGTCGGTCAGAATGAGGCAACGTGACTGGCTGGTCACTGAACCACTGATAATGTGTCTCATCACTTAGCACCACTACATGTCACCACCAGCCAGTGCTTCCTTCCTTCACTTACTTGTGTAGGGATGCAGTGTGGTCAGTGACAGCCTCTGTTGCAGTGGCCAGGTCATGCTAATACAGCCAGGCCCCAAACTGTGCAGTAACCATGTCTTTATACAGAGTGTGTAGTGGTGGGGTATACCTAGGAGTCAATAGGAAAATCTTCCTATGGATTGGGAATTGGGTATTACATCTATTGATTACAGGGTTATGTAGGTGATTAAAACTCCAGTGACCACCAAGAGTTTTCTCTGTAATCCAGATGTGAAGTGGAAGAAGAGACTTACTGCTGTGCTGAATAAATGCAAAAACAGCGAGCAGATTGGTTTACAACCAGTAAACATACAGTAGATGCTTCTTAGCAGCAGCATGTTGGTTCACTGGTATTGCTGCCAGCTGGGTAATATAGTATGTAGTAAGGAAAATGCTCCCTAGGGAAGTGTAGCTTGTCAGCTGCTATTGCTGTTACAAGGTATTGTTACAAAAGAACACCTGCTCAGAAGCTCAGAAGGTGTGGGATTTAATCAATGTTTTCTATAGGCTAGAATCAGCAAGGCCATTGCTAACCCTGACCATGTGCTAAAGGACAGAGTTCCTTGGTGTGTTTTAATGGCTAGCAATGGCATTAGTGATCACTTTCTGCTCAAGTGTTGAACAAGGATTAACTTAATCTTTCAGAGATGAATTTTAAGTCACGTTTATCTGTAACTCACTGTAGTTCTCTTTTATTTTAATACTTTTAACTTAATCGTTCTCTCTTTAAGAATACTGTTTTACATTTTGATAGCTCTTTGCAGAGATACAAAATGGCTCTTTGCACGGTGATTCTAGTAGAGTTCTAAGTTCTATTTTTAAATCCTCCAGGTAATGCCCCTCCACTTGGTCTGCTCCCTCAGTTGAGAGGGAATGAGGGACAAAATGACTTTTGGGTAGATAAAACCAAAGACTTCACTCTCCTAGGAGGGTTGCATGTTTCCTATTCAGGCTATATTTTAATGCTCTGCAATTTGCCTTGTAGTAAGATTCTTCTTTTAACTTCCTCTGCTCATGTATTCACTGCCCCAAAGCACTTAGTAGTAGGTAAAAAAGACGAGAGGGAGAAAGAGAGAGAGTAAAGCAGTCAAAGCTAGTCTTCCTCAGCA